AGAGAAAGTAAAAATAACAACATACAAAAATATTTGCCTCACATGTGGTATTCTATGTTGTTAATAGTAAAGACATATGAAGAGCTTTTTCAAATTTATTAAAGAAAATCCAAATAGACACCAAAAGGTTATGAACAGATATGCAAAGTTACACTGATATTTCCCAGAACTTGTAAATCAGGCTTTCATCTGGGATGGAATTCATGCATGAACCAATTAGACAATTCATTGAAATTTTCGGGGCCAATAAGTGACCTTTAAATGCTTTACAAAACATGTCTTGGCAAACTGCCCAGAAGTCATTTGCCCATGTATGTGAGGATTTATTTTTGAGCTCCCTATTTTACCAATTAATATTCTTGCCAGTACCATATTGTTTTAATTATTGTAGCTTTGTAGTAAGTTTGGAAACCGGGAAGTGTGATGCTTCCAGCTTTGTTCTTTTTCATGATCATTTTGGCTATTCGGGGGTCCCTTTAGATTTCATGTGACTTTTAGAATAAGCTTTTCTATTTCTGCAAAAATGTCATGGTTTTGACAGGGATTGCACTGAATCTATTGATCACTGAGTAGTATTGGCATGTTAACAATATTAAGTTTTCCAATCCAAGAACATAGGCTGTGTCTTCATTTATTTATGTCTTCTTTAATTTCTTTCAGCAACGTTGTGTCGATTCCATTGTACGAGTCTTTTACCTTCTCGTTAAGTTCATTTCTAAGACTTTTAAAAATTCTATTGTAGTTGAAATTGTTTTTGTAAATTCTTTTTCAAATTATTAGTTGTTAGCATGTAGAACCATAATTGATTTTTGTGTGATTTTGTATCCTGTAACTTTGCAGAATTTATCAGTTCTAACAGTTTTTTTTTTTTTTTGTATGTGGACTCTGTAGGGTTTTCTACATTTGAGATCATACCATCTGCAAACAGACATAATTTAATTCTGCCTTTCCAATTTAGATGCCTTCTATTTCTTTTTTAAATTTGAGACAGCGTCTCGCCCTGTCACCCAGGCTGCAGTGCAGTGGGGCAGTCACGGCTCACTGCAGCATTGACCTCCTGGGTTCAAGTGATTCTTCCACCTCAGCCTCCTGAATATCTGAACAGCTGGGACCACAGGCACATGCCACCATGCCCAGCTAATTTTTGTATTTTTTGTAAAGACAGAGTTTCACCATGATGCTTTCTGTTTCTTGATCTTGCTTGTTATCTGGCAAGAACTTCCAGTTCTATGTTAATTAGAAGTGGCAAAAGTGAACATCCTTGCCTTGTTCCTGATTAAAGATGAAAAGCTTTGGCCAGGCGCGGTGGCTCACGCCTGTAATCCCAGCACTTTGGAAGGCTGAGCTGGGTGGATCATGAGGTCAAGAGATCGAGACCATCCTGGTCAACATGGTGAAACCCCATCTCTACTAAAAATACAAAAAAATTAGCTGGGCATGGTGGCGCGTGCCTGTAATCCCAGCTACTCAGGAGGCTGAGGCAGGAGAATTGCCTGAACCCAGGAGGCAGAGGTTGCGGTGAGCCGAGATCTCGCCATTGCACTGCAGCCTGGGTAACAAGAGGGAAACTCCGTCTCAAAAAAAGAAAAGCTTTAAGTCTTTCACCATTGAGTATAATGTTTGGTGTGGCTCTGATTTTATTGAGGTAGTTTCCTTCTATTCTTAGTTTGTTGAATGTTTTTAGCATGAAAGGGTGTTGAATTTTGTCCAGTGCTGTTTCTGCATCACTTAAGGTGATTTTGTGTTTTTATCCTTAATTCTATTAATGTGATATATCAAATTTATGGATTTTCTTATGCTGACCCATTCTTACACTCCAGGAATAAATTTCATTTGCTCATGGTGTACAATCCTATTAATAGGGTTTTAAATTCATTTTGCTAGTATTGTATCGAGAAGTTTTGCAATAACGTTGACATGGGTTGCCGTGTTTTTAGCTGGTGGTGTCTTTGACCTTGGTCTCAGTTTACTGCTGGCTTTGGAATGAGTTTGCAAGCTTTCCCTTCTCTTCAACTTTTTAGAAATGATCGAAAAGGATTGTTGTTTGTTCTTTAAGTGTTTGGTAAAATTCACCAGTGAAGATATTAGAGCTTCTGCTTTTCTTTGTTGGGAGATTTTTTGATTACTGATTCAATCTGACTAGTTATAAAACTAATCATATTTTTTATTTCTCCATGATTTAGTCTTGGTAGTTTTGGTGTTTTTCGTTTCTGTTTTGTCTAGGTTTTTCATTTCATCCAGATTATCTTCTTTTTCTTTTGTTTTTTCATCTAGGTTATCTAATTTTTGGAATTATTGGATACAGTGAGTTCTAAATTTCTCTTCAATAATCAGTATGTTGTTATGTTCAGTTATTTGTTCTTCATTTTAAAGTTCAACTTCTTTGTAGCTCCAGTGAACGACCTTCTTCACCGGTTCTGATCAGTAGTTCACATCTGTTCCCCTGGCCCCCAGCGCCATCCTGACTCATTCTGGTCACCTGCTGCAGTCACTTGCTCTGGTCACCTTCTTTGACCTAGGTCACCCCTGGCTACCTGCTCTGACCTGCTGGTAACCATCCTTCCTGCAAAACCACCCACCCTGGCACTCTGGCTTAGACCCCAATAGTCAATCGGGATTAGTCTAGCTTGTGCAGTCTAGCCAATAGGGGAATGACACAGCAGTAGGGGCGACCCTGGTCAGGCATAAATACCCCTTTTCCCCACTTGTCCAAATGTGTGGTCACCATTGTTCTATCCATGGGCCACACCCTTCTATGGAAGAAAACTGCCTTGCCAAGAGGATTTATCTTTGAGTGTTATTTCTTTTGCAGCATTGAAATATTACTTATAACCATTCTGGGGGCTTCTCTGGGATTCAGCGCTCTCCTCCGGGTGGTCTCGGACCCTCTCTTGTGAGGAGATGTGTTCTGCTGCTTCATTTCACAGCGGCCTCTTGGGCAAGGGATGGAGACCTACCTGATGTGACGAACAAGCCCAGCCTCTCAGCAACACGGAATAAAAAACGGCCTGCATAACTGCAGCAACTAAGCAGCTCTGTGTACAGACCAAGAAAAAGGTGCTGAGGGAGCTGGTAAAGTATTTTCTTGCGGTAGGGACCAAGGTAAAAGAAAAAGCCCTGGGAGTGGCAGTAAACGATTCCTTGGAGTATATCAAGGCAAGGAAAGCTGCGGGGGGAGGTGAGGTATTCTTGGTTGGGGTGGCTTGGAGGTTAAAAAGAGGTGAGACATCTCCACTGGGGGGGATTGAACCTCACACCAACCTCCAATAGTAGGGGAGGCAAGAAATTTCCAATGAGGGAAATTAGGCCTCACCCTAAAAGGTGAGAAATTTCCAGTAGGGGAAACTGGACCTCACTCCAAGACCAGGAAGATGGGGAATACCCCAAGCAAGACAGAGAGTAAGAAGGACAAAGATGGTAACAAGGATATTCCCCCTCATAGCCCCCTAGGTATAATGTTAAAATACTGGAAGGATAGTGAAAAAACTAAATATAAGAAAAAGCAAGAGATGATAAAAATATTGCTGTTTTATTTGGACTCAAGGACCCGTCCTCAAACCCTCAACCATCTGGCCAAAGCTTGGGTCGAATGAAGATGTAAGCTTCTAATCCAATATGTTAATAATAAAAGTCCAGTGTCTCAAGAAGAACTGAACTATGCTCTTTGTTGGAGGCAGAGACTTGTCCTCCTTTTTTCCCTTAAAAACAAATAGGGAAGAATCCAATCTGGCACCTCAGAATGAAAAGTCAGAGCCGGGCGCGGTGGCTCACACCTGTAATCCCAGCACTTTGGGAGGCCGAGGCGGGTGGATCATGAGGTCAAGAGATCGAGACCATCTTGGTCAACATGGTGAAACCCCGTCTCTACTGAAAATACAAAAAAAATTAGCTGGGCATGGTGGCGCGTGCCTGTAATCCCAGCTTCTCAGGAGGCTGAGGCAGGAGAATTGCCTGAACCCAGGAGGCGGAGGTTGCTGTGAGCCGAGATCGCACCATTGCACTCCAGCCTGGGTAACAAGAGCGAAACTCCGTCTCAAAAAAAAAAAAAAAAAGAAAGAAAGAAAAGAAAAGTCAGAGAAGCCAGTTCCCATGCCTAAAGAGTCCAGTGCATGGGATTCCCTAGGTTATCTTCCCCCATTCAGTGTCCCCAATCCTCTTCAGCAGCCGCTGCCATTTCAGATCCTATTCGGAATTCTTCCCCTGCTTATGTTATCCCTCCTCCTTATAACCCTGACTCTTGGGAATTACCATCCCACAAGCCTGTTCCGTCCCAACCTAAACACCCCTCTAACAGAACTCCAGCATGAAAGATATTCAGAATTTCCCACTTCCTCCACACCTAAAGAGTCAGCCCCCAACTCTCTTCCCTTTGAAAGAGGTACCACCAGTTTGGGGGGCGGGGGGCGGTGGGCATTGGCTTTGTAAATGTTCTGTTAACCAGTTCAGAAGTCCGGAATTTACAAAGGGAGCTTAAGCCATTACTAGATGACCCTTACAGAGTGGCAGATCACACTGACCAATTCTTAGGACCTCAGTTATACGCTTGGGTTGAGTTAATGTCCATCTTGGGCACCCTCTTTTCAGGGGAGAAAGGAGCATGATTCCTAAGGCTGCTATGGCTGTTTGGGAGCTGACTCTGAAATTCTTTTGTGATTTGATATTTGCTGATTTCTCTTTGTGCTGTTTCTGTTGTACCCTCCTGCCTATGAACCCCTCTTTTTCATTTTATTCTTCTGCCCCCCGCTGCCAAGATACCAAAGATTCATTCTCGAAGCCAGCCAAGCAGCCTTGGTGTTGGCCCAATTGTGGTGGGGCAGCTGAGCGTGGTCCTTAGTCTGTGCTACTGCACAGCTTTTAAACCTTTCAGAATGGAACAACTAGAAAAAGAGGAGTCTTCCTCCTGCTTGTATGGACCACCCTTCACAGTGTAAACTTGACACCACTGTTTTGCTGCTAAGGTGTATTTTTACTAGCTCTTAGCTTACTAATGACCTTTCAACACTGGGGAGATGGGGAAAGGAAAACAGTAGTAGAAAGGAAAGATCACATTCTAATACGCCTCTAGATTAGAGGTACATTGCAAAATCTTTCTTTTTTTTTCTACCCAAAATACTGGTCTTCAAGGAACTCTCGTGGGGAAGTGAGCCTGCAGATGTGCATGTCAGCAGTATTCTCCTGTGAAGTGAGCCTGCAGATGTGCATGTCGACAGTATTCTGCAGTGAAGTGAGCCTGCAGATGTGCATGTCGACAGTCTTCTGCGGTGAGGTGAGCCTGCAGATGTGCATGTCGACAGTCTTCTGCGGTGAGGTGAGCCTGCAGATGTGCATGTCGACAGTCTTCTGCGGTGAGGTGAGCCTGCAGATGTGCATGTCGACAGTCTTCTGCGGTGAGGTGAGCCTGCAGATGTGCATGTCGACAGTCTTCTGCGGTGAGGTGAGCCTGCAGATGTGCATGTCGACAGTCTTCTGCGGTGAGGTGAGCCTGCAGATGTGCATGTCGACAGTCTTCTGCGGTGAGGTGAGCCTGCAGATGTGCATGTCGACAGTCTTCTGCGGTGAGGTGAGCCTGCAGATGTGCATGTCGACAGTCTTCTGCGGTGAGGTGAGCCTGCAGATGTGCATGTCGACAGTCTTCTGCAGTGAGGTGAGCCTGCAGATGTGCATGTCGACAGTCTTCTGCGGTGAGGTGAGCCTGCAGATGTGCATGTCGACAGTCTTCTGCGGTGAGGTGAGCCTGCAGATGTGCATGTCGACAGTCTTCTGCGGTGAGGTGAGCCTGCAGATGTGCATGTCGACAGTCTTCTGCGGTGAGGTGAGCCTGCAGATGTGCATGTCGACAGTCTTCTGCGGTGAGGTGAGCCTGCAGATGTGCATGTCGACAGTATTCTGCGGTGAGGTGAGCCTGCAGATGTGCATGTCGACAGTATTCTGCGGTGAGGTGAGCCTGCAGATGTGCATGTCGACAGTCTTCTATGGTGAAGCAGAAACATCAGAAGCCCCTTGGTCATGTAGTAAAACCAGCTGTTAAAATTACTTCAAGGGCCAGGCATGGGGGTTTGTGGCTGTAGTCCTAGGTATTTGCAGCAGAGCTTAGGTGGGAGGATCGCGTGACCCCAGGAGGTGGAGGCTATGTTGAGCTATGATCATGCCACTGCACTCCAGCCTGGGTGACAGAGTACACCTGTCTCAAAAAAAGAAAAATTATTTCTAACCATCAGTAGTTGGTAACCAGTAGGGTCAGAGGTAAAAATGGCAGACAGTGTGCTTTATTTTAGGCTTGCAGGTATGAAAGACTGAAAGAGGAAGGGCAGGTACCACACTTAATTGGTATTCTGGGGCAAATGTTTGGCAACTCAGTTGACATTTCTCCTTCTCTTCCTTACTATCAGCTTTGATTTTGTTCAGGAATCCTACAGGAGGCTGGTTAGAGTGGAGGCCTCCTCACTCCCCTCTGGAGGTGAATCTTGACTTGTGTTAAGACAGTCATAGTAATTCTGTTCCCCTTTCCACTGATTGTTTTCAGCAAGGACCTGTGATGCAGTTTTAGCCAATGAGGTCTGAGGAGAGGTCTGGTAAGGTGACTTTTGGGGTGAGGTTGTCTTTGCTGTTAATAAATGATGCTTGGGAGTGTCAAAGATCCCCTTTCTGCCTCTGGATGTTGCTGACTGCATGTGGTAGCTGAATCTGTGGCAGCCATGATGGAAACCTGAGGGGCAGTAGCCAACCCCCAGAGGATGGCAGAGGACAGAAGAAGATCCCTGGGTCCTTGGGGATGTGATAGAGACATTTGATGAACCAGTCCTGCTGCTGCCCTTCCATACTTCTTATTCTAGGAGATAGTACATTCTTAATTATTGAAGTGATGTTGAGCTGTGTCTTCCATTACTCACAGACTGATGTGATTCCTTACATTTATATAGCTCTCCCCCTGCCCACATACATTGCCCAGTTGATTCTCACAGATACCCTATGGGGCCATGCAAGACAATGAAAGATAAGGAAATTGAGGCTCAGAAGGAGGGTGTGGCACTACAACCAAATGGTCTGATTTCTAGTCCAGAGTTTGTCATCAAACCTCTTGAATTCAGGTGTGATGGCCATAGTGGGAATAGTGGGAGTGGGAGAATCTTTTGGAAACCCTTGAAGAATCTCTTGGTAAAGAAGAGGATAGGAAGCTGCTGGGAAAAAATTTCTCTGATGTCCTATTGGCCTCAGATCAGCTCAGATGGATTTTTGGGGGATGTTTTTTCTATTTATTTAATTATTTAATAATTAAAAAAAAATACAGATGGGGCCTTGCTATGTCGATGGGGGTGAGGAGGTGTTTTTCCTTGGCTGGCCCCTCCCCCCACCCCTCCCTTCTCCTTCCTTTCCTTTCCCTTCTCTTCTATTATTTTTTTCAAGACTTTGTCTGTCACCCAGGCTGGAGTGCAGTGGCATGATCTCTGGTCACTGCAACCTCCACCTCCCAGGTGCAAGTGATTCTCATGCCTCAGCCTTTCAAGTAGCTAGAACAACCACCCTGGCCTAATTTTTATAATTTTATTAAATATGGCGTTTCAGCATGTTGGCCAGGCTGGTCTCGAACTCCTGACCTCAGGTGATCTAAGGCTGGTTACTTCTTTAGCCCTCCTCAGTGTGTGCCAAGTGAAAGTTAACAACTGGCGTAGCTTAGCCTCCAGGGTTTACTGCTTTCAAAACCACAGGAGTTTTCTGATTCACAAAACTGCCTTTATTTCAGGCTCAATGAAAGGTGGAAATTTTTGTTAGGGTCCGGCCTTATTGGATTATGTTAGATTTTTACCATTAACACTTGAACTTCCTGTATCTTCTGAGGTGGATTTGATAGAACCTGGTTTACTGACTTTGATTCAGGCCAGTCCTTTTTCAGATTCCCTTCTCCCCACTCCTCCATGCTGCTTCCCACGCCCACCTTGGCCTTGAAGCAGGAGTGGCAGGGAATAAACCTCTTGAACACAGAACTGAGGAAGGAAGTGGTTTTTTATTGAGCCGGGAGCTGTGGGGGGCTACAGCCTCATTCACCGAGCTCCCTGAGAAGCAGCTTCTTTCCCCTTTTATAGGTTTACAATGCTAAAGGGGACACTGAGGCGGAACTACGTCATTGTTCATTTGCTGGACGTCAGACCTTACAATGTTTTAGCTTCATTGATTTGCTAATTCATATGCAGTGTGAGCAGGGACCAGCAGGGGAGAGGGCTTACAGAGACAAGACAAAAGCAACAAGCTGTTTGTAGGCAGAGGTGTTTCCAGGAAGTAGCCTGGTCCATGGAGACGTGGGGGCGTGAACCAGTGCCCAGCTCCAGCCAGCAGAGATAACATTCATTTACAGCTCTTTCAAGGTTAACAGATAGCAGAGATCCTGGGAACTGAAAAGGGAGTTATTGTCCCAGCTCTGTGGTATTTTATTTCATTTTTTTTCCTTCTTCACCCTCCTTCCCATCTGGAAGGGGGGAGGGAGGAGATGAAATTGAAGGAGGCGAGGGGGTCTCTCCTCAACCTCAGATCTTCCTGCTGTTCCTCTCATTGTGTCCTTCTGTCTGATTTTACCACATTTTCTGGTCCCTGCCTCTGCATTCTCACTGATTGTAATCTTCTGTTTCTCTCTCCCTACCAAAAATTCTCTCTCAATTTCCTCTTTTTCCTATTCCAATAACCTTTCCTTACTTCTAGTCCCTGTCTCACATTTGTGTGAAGGTTAGTTATACAAATTGGGTAATTTTTGTCATACTCATGTAAAAAAGAATCAAGGGGTCTGGGGGAACAGCACTTGGGGTCACAGGACTTGCTCCAGGAATTAAGTTTTCCAGAAGCCCAGCTGCTAAAATGGACTGCTGTAACTCTAAAATCAGTTTTGCCTGGGAGCTGCTGAAACACCTGCCGTGGTTCTGCGACTAGTTTTAACTACTGCAGTCACTCACCTACCAGAGCTTGCTGGCTCCCAAAAGCTTCTTTAGCGCCAATGAACTTGCTTGCTTTCTTTTCTTTCTCTCTTTCTCCCTTCTTTCCTCCCTCCCTTTCTTTCTCTTTCTCTCTCGCTTTCTCCCTTCTTTCCTCCCTCCCTCTTTCCTTCTTTTTCTTTCTCCCTCTCTCTTTCTTTCTCTCTCACTCTCTTTCTCTCTCTTTCTCCCTCCCTCCCTCCCTTCCTCCTTTCCTTCCTTTCTCTCTCACTTTCTTTCCCTCCCTCTTTCTTTCTTTTCTTTTCTTTTGTTCCTGTGATGGAGTCTTACTCTGTCACCAGGCCTGGAGTGCAGTGGTACAATTTTGGCTCACTACAACCTCCACCTCACGGGTTCAAGTGATTCTCCTGCCTCATCCTCCCAAGAAGCTGGGACTACAAGTGCACACTGACACACCTGGCTAATTTTTTGTATTTTTAGTAGAGACAGGGTTTCACTGTGTTTCCCAGGCTGGTCTCAAACTCCTGAGCTCAGGCAATACGCCTGCCTCAGCCTCCCAAAGTGCTAGGATAACAGGCATGAGCAACTGTGCCTGCCCTGAACTTTCTTTCAAACACTACATAATAATTCTCTTTCTTATTTATTTATTTTTTAAAAAATAGAGACAGGGTCTCTCTATGTTGCCCAGGCCAGTCTCAAACTCTTGGGTTTAAGGGATTCTCCTGCCTCAGTCTCCCAAAGTGCTGAGATTACACGCATGAGACACCACGCCTGGCCAACATTTCTCTTTTTGATAAAACTCAACTTTCTTTTTGTTCATCTCACAAACCAAAGACCATCTGGCCTGTGTGTATGCCCTGAATTGTAATTATTGCTTCCTTAATAAAACATTTTAACCTTAGAGATTCATCTCTCTATAATATTTGACTGAAATATATTTGGTGTCAGAAGTATGGATCCAAAGCTGCCTCGTCTAGGGGAAAATCTCAGCGCCTGGAATTATGATGAGAGGTGCCCATCCTTGAACCCCTGGAGCCTCCTGCTTCCCTGAGTTGCCTCTTTCCCCTTTGGTGAGTCTCTCGTCAACCAAACTTCTGACTTTGGTTAAATTGTGTTTTATTTGGAATTTGGTTGAGGAGGAACCTTCCTCGCTTTTTTCCAAGAGGCTTCTTCCCCCCACTGGGAGCTCTACTGCTGGGAAGGGGCATCATCTTCCTGTGGCTCTCAGCTGGGAGGTTTAGGTGTAGGGATTCCCCCTCATTTGGAGAAGGTGGCTTATTATCCTTCTTGGTAAGTATGTATTTTATTTTCTGTCTGTGTGACTTTGGTGTATTCAGTCCTTGTGTTTTAATTTGCTTTTGTGCATTTGGCAATAAAATAAATCATCTAGATTAATTTAGCTACAAATGGGCAATCAAAGTTCCACATCATGACAAAATATTATCTGGGACTCCAGCTGGTAACATGTTGAAACATTATGGGATTATTCAGACAGTCTTATTATTCTCCAAACTAAACTAAGACATCGACCATAAAATCATACACTTTAAATAATACTCATATCTCAATTGAAATATTGAGGCTCAAAAAAGTTTTCAGGACTCTAAGATCACCTTTTTACAAAACACTCGCACAAAACTGGCTGAGGCTCCTTTCAGGATCGTTTCCTACAATTCCTTCTGTCTATCCTCTAAACTAAACTGTTTCTTCTAAAACTCCTCAGCTATTCCGACATACTAACTACTTTAGTAATAACACAAAAAACCAACAGATGCAAAGGCGAATCATTTTGCCCTTTGTGCTATTTCTTAAGGACAAAAGATGAAATTCCCATATAAAAGATGCCTTCCCTATACCAAAAGGAATGGCAACATTTTAATGTCAACCTAACAGTGGGTGGCACATCTCACACACGCGTGTGAACACCCAATCATTGTGAACTACAAAAGGATGGAGGGACGGCAACATTCTCCTTTTCAAGGACAAATAATATGCTGTGCAGACTCTTATCTTTTGGGCCTCCTCGTATAACTTAGATTATCAGAGCTCATTGTTATTTGTCCAATCTGGTAATTGACTTAAACTGATCTACCCCAAATTTGGTTCTCCAACTTCGTATTATTTCCTGTTTAAAAAGTCTTAAAGTTTAACCTTATGCTATCTTTTTTTCAGAAAAATAATTTGGATCCAACTGTCTTTTATAAATGTATAAGTTCATGTACATATATAATTTTCTATTTTTAATTTTTATGGGTACAAAATGGGTGTAAATATTTATGGGGTATATGTTTTGATACAGACATGTATAACTTAATAATTATAGCATGGAGAATGGGGTACCCATCCCCATAAGCATTTATCCTTTGCATTACAAACAATCCACAATTATATTCTTTTAGTTATTTTAAAATGTACAAATAAATTATTATTGACTATGCTCACTGTGTTATGCTATGCTATCAAATGGTAGGTATTATTCATTCATTCTGCTTTTAAAATGTTTTTTATTTTTCTTACCCATTAACTACCTCCACCTTCCCCCACCCCCCCAGTGTGCTTCCCAGCCTCTGATGACCTTCCCTACTTTCTGTATCCATGAGTTCAATTGCTTTGATTTTTAGACCCCACAAATAAGTGAGAACATGTGATATTTGTCTTTCTGTGCCTGGCTTACTTCACTACTATAATGGTCTCCAGTTCCATCCATGTTGTTGGAAATGACAGGATCTCATTCATTCTTTATGGCCAAATTATACTCCATTGTGTATGTGCACCACATTGTCTTTATGCATTCAGCTGTTGATGGACACTTAGGTTGCTTCCAAATCTTGGCTATTGCAAACAAACATGTGAGTGCAGATATCTCTTTGATATGCTGATTTCGTTTCTTTTGGGTATATACCCTGCAGTGGGATTGCTGGATGATATGCTAGTTCTATTTTTAGTTTCTTGAAGAACTTCCAAAGTGTTTTCCATAGTGGCTATATTAATTTACATTTCTTTCAACAGTTTATGAGGGCTCCCTTTTTTTCCCCACATCCTCGCCAACATTTATTATTGCCTGTCTTTTGAGTATAAGCCATTTAACTGGGGTTAGATGATATCTCATTGTAGCCTTGATTGCATTTCTGTGATGATCATATGTCTGTTTGCCATTTGCATGTCTTCTTTTTAGAAATGTCTATTCAAATCTTTCGCCCATTTTTAATTGGATTAGATTTTTTCCTGTAGAGTTGTTTGAATTCCTTATAAATTCTGCTTATTAATCCCTTGTGAAAAGGGTAGTTTGCAAATATTTTCTCTTTCTGTAGGTTGTCTCTTTACTTCATTGATTGTTTCCTTCTCAGTACAGAAGTTTCTTTAAACTTAAGGTGTTCCCAATTCTCCATTTTTGCTTTGGTTGCCTGTGATTATGGGTGTTACTCAAGACATTTTTGCACAATGTCCTAGGCATTTTCCCCAGTGTTTTGTGTAGTAGTTTCATAGTTTGAGGTCTTGGATTTAAGTCTTTAATCCATTTTAATTTGATTTTTGTATATGGCAAGAGACAGGGGTCTAGTTTCCTTCTTCCGCATATGGATATTCAGTTTACCGAACACCGTTTATTGAAGAGATGATCTTTTCCCCAACATATGCTTTTGGCACCTTTGTTGAAAATGAGATCACTGTGTACAAATTTATTTTTGGGTTCTCTATTCTGTCCCATTGGTCTATGTGTCTGTTTTCTGTGCCAGTACCATGATGTTTTGGTTACTATAGCTCTGTAGTTTAATTTGAAGTCAGGTAATGTGATTTCTCCAGCTTTGTTCTTCTTGCTTAGGACAGCTTGGGCTATTGTGGTCTTTTGTGGTTCCAATAAATTGTAAGATTGTTTTCCTATCTCTGTAAAAAATGTCATTGGTATTTTGATAGGGATTGCATTGACTCTGTAGAATGCTTTGGGTAATATGAACATTTAAATAGCGTGGTGGCTCAAGCCTGTAATCCCAGCACTTTGGGAGGCCGAGGCGGGTGGATCCGGAGGTCAAGAGATTGAGACCATCCTGGTCAACATGGTGAAACCCTGTCTCTACTAAAAATACACAAAATCAGCTGGGCATGGTGGTGCGTGCCTGTTATCCCAGCTACTCAGGAGGCTGAGGCAGGAGAATTGCCTGAACCCAGGAGGCAGAGGTTGCGGTGAGCCGAGATCGCGCCATTGCACTCCAGCCTGGGTAACAAGAGTGAAACTACGCCTCTAAATAAATAAATAAATAAATAAATAAATAAATGCATGCTATTGATTCTTCCAATTCATGAACATGAAATGTCTTCCCATCTTTTTCTGTATTCTTCAATTTCTTGCATCAATGTTTTATAGTTTTCTTTTTCTTTTTTTGAGACAAAGTCACCCAGTCTGGAGTGCAGTGGCACAATCTTGGATCATTGCAGACTCTGCCTCCTAGGTTCAAGTGATTCTCCTGCTTTAGCCTCTCAAGTAGCTGGACTACAGGTGTGCACCACCACAACCACTAATTTTTGTATTTTTAGTAGAGACGGAGTTTTACCATGTTGGCCAGGCTGATCTCAAACTCCTGACCTCAGGAGCCCTTGCCTCCCAAAGGGCTGGGATTACAGGCATGAGCCACTGCACCTGCCTTAAAGTTTTCATTATAGAGAACTTTCACTTCTGTGGCTAAGTTAATTCCTAGGTATTTAATTTTATATGTGGCTATTACAAATGGAATTACTTTTTACGTGTATTTTTCAGAGTGTTTACTGTTGGCATATAGAAATTCTACTCATTTTTGTATGTTGATTTTTGTATCTTACAACTTTACTGAATGTATCAGTTTTAATAGTTTTTCAGTGGATGCTTTAGGTTTTTCCAAATATAAGGTCATATCATCTGCAAACAAGGGTAGTTTGACTTCTTTCTTTCTGATTTGGATATCTTTTTCTTTCTTTCTCTTGTCTGGTTGCTCTAGCTAGGACTTTGGCTACTATGTTGAATAACAGTGGTGGAAGTGGGCCTCCTTGCTGTTTTTCAGATATTAGAGGAAAGGCTTTCTGCTTTTCCCCATTCAGTATGGGTCTGCCGTATATGGCTTTAATTGTGTTGAGATGTGTTACTTCTCTGCCTCGTTTTTTGAGGGTTTTTATCATGAAGGGATGTTGAATTTTATCAAATGCGTTTTCAGCGTGAATTGAAATGATCATATGGTTCTTGTCCTTCATTCTGTAGATGTGATGTATGACATTGATTGATTTGCATATGTTGAACCATCCTTGCATCCTAGGGAGGAATCTCACTTGGTCATGATGAATGATCTTTCAATGTGTTCTTGAATTTGGTTTGCTAGTATTTTGTTGAGGATTTTTACATCAATATGCATCAGGGATATTGGCCTGTAGTTTTCTTTTTTTGATGTGTCTTTGTCTGGTTTTGGTATCAGGATACTGGCCTCATAGAATGAGTTTGGAAGTATTTCCTCCTCCTCTATTTTTTGGAATACTTTGAGTAGGATTGCTATTATTTCTTCTTTAAATGTTTGGTAGAATTCAGCAGTGAAGCCGTTGGGTCTCGGGCTTTTCCTTACGGGGAGACTTTGTATTGTGGCTTCAGTCTCATTACTTGTTATTGGTCCGTTCAGGTTTTAGAGTTCTTCATGATTCAATCTTGATAGATCGTATGTGTCTAGCAATTTGTCCATTTCTTCTAGGTTTTCCTACTTATTGGCATATATAGTTGCTCACAGTAGCCACTAATGAGCTTCTGAATTTCTGCAGAATTAGTTGTAATGTCTCATTTATCCCCTCTGATTTTATTTATCTGGGTCTGCTCTTTTTTTCTTAATCTGGCTAAAGGTTTTTCAATTTCATTTATCTTTTTGAAAAACCAACTTTTCATTTCATTGATCATTTGTATTGTTTTCTTCATTTTAAAATCATTTATTTCTCCTCTAGTCTTTATTATTTCTTTTATTCTACTAATTTTAGGGTTGGTTTGCTCCTGTTTTTCTAGTTCTTTAAGCTGCAGCATGAGGTTTCTTATTTGAAATTTTTCTACTTTTCTGATGTAGGCACTTATTATTGTAAACGTCCATCTTAGTACTTCTGCTGTATCCTATAGGTTTTTGTATGCTGTGTTTCCATTTTCATGTGTTTAAAAAATTTTTCAGCCAGGCGCGGTGGCTCACGCCTGTAATCCCAGCACTTTGGGAGGCTGAGGCGGGTGGATCACAAGGTCAAGAGATCGAGACCATCCTGGTCAACATGGTGAAACCCCGTCTCTACTAAAAATACAAAAAATTAGCTGGGCGTGGTGGTGCGTGCCTGTAATCCCAGCTACTCGGGAGGCTGAGGCAGGAGAATTGCCTGAACCCGGGAGGCGGAGGTAGCAGTGAGCTGAGATCGCGCCATTGCACTCCAGCCTGGGTAACAAGAGTGAAACTCCGTCTCAAAAAATAAAAAAATTTTTTTCAATTTTCTTCTTAATTTCTTCACTGACCCACTGGTCATTCAGGAGCATATTGCTTAATTTTCATGTATTCATCTGTTTCCAAAATTCCTCATTATTGGTTTCTAGTTTTATTCATTTTGCTCAGAGAAGACTTTTTTTTCAATTGTTTGAAATGTTTTAAGACTTGTTTTGTGGCTTAACATATGGTCTATCCTTGAAAATAATCTATATGTTGAGGAGAATGTGTATTCTGCAGCTGTTTGGTGAAATGTTACGTAGATATCTTCGGTTCATTTGTGTATAGTTTAGATTAAGTACAGGGTTTCTTTGTTGGCTTTCTGTCTGGCTGATCTGTCTAATGCTAATAGTGGGGTTTTGAAGTCTCCAGCTGTTATTTTTGGGGAAATCTATCTCTCTCTTTAGCTCTAATATTTGCTTTATATATTTGGGTACTCCAGTGTGGGGTGCATATATATTTACAAATGTTATATCTTCTTGTTGAATTTACCC